GATGAGTGTGTGTATATATACATATGTCTATATAGATGTATGATATGTGTGAGTGAGAGAACGTGCGCATACAGACAGACAGACAGACAGACAGACAGACAGACAGACAGACAGACAGACAGACAGTCAGCCATGCGTGCATGCATGCATGCATGCATGCACGCACGCATGCACGCATGCATTCATGCATACACATATATATATATATACACACACATACATACGTACACACACATATCGTGCCATCGTGCCAATGCATACCCACATACGTACACAGAAATACATGTGAACTTTTAGGTACCCAACACGTGCCTCTATATACATATATACACATATATATATATATATATTCTATATATGTATACCTTTGTGTGTGTGTGTAGATATGTAGATCTGTTCTTGCACCTAGCGGCCCATAGAGCAAGTGCAAGGATAATGGGCCGTGTGCGGCCACCACTTCACTTCGAATCCCCGGCCTCGCCGTTGCAGGTGCTCGGCGAAATTTTGCACGCCTTTTTTTTTAAGGGGGGGGGGGTCTGGGGTTTGGGACCACTTTGTGGAGGATTATCAACCACCTGCACTTCGTCGCGTCAGGGGTTGCATGGACCAGGTATAACTCTATAGCCTAAACCCTAAGCCCAAGCCCCAAGTCCTAAACTCTGTCAAGAAACCCTACACCCGCCCCTAAACCCTAAACCCTGAACCCTGAACCCTAAACCCTAAACCCTAAACTCTAAACCCCAAAAGCACCAGGTACTGAACCGCCAGCAGCTGCAAGTGCTCCAGGAGCCCAGAGCGCAGCTCACCGAGCAGAGACTTGGCTTGAGTTTAGGGTTTTAGGGTTTAGGGTTTAGGGTTTAGGGAGCAGAGACTTGGCTTGAGTTTAGGGTTTTAGGGTTTAGGGTTTAGGGAGCAGAGACTTGACTTGAGTTTAGCGCAACAAGAAAGGGTTCATCTTTGGGGCTCTACAGTAGGGTTTAGGTTTTCTATTTTGGGGGTTTAGGGTTTAGGGTTCCTTCAATTTTTTTAGGGTGTTGTGGCATATTTTGTGGCTTTGGGGTTTAGCTCATTGCTTTTCATGCTGTGTTTTGGGGCTCCAACTGTACTCGGGATGGTTTTGGTTTTCGCACTCCATTTTGCAGATGATTTCCCACGCCCTCGTAAACAGTCTCACATCTGTACAGCGTGTCTCGGGCATGTTAAGGGGCTTATAATTTCAGTTACTACAATAAGGAAGCCACATTCATTTCTATGGATCCCTAGTATGGTAACTTAAACTGCATCTCTTAACAAGAACCCAGCCTGCTAAAAGGGTCATGGGACTTAGTAAGTAGGGTTATCACTAAGGTAACTATACTTATAACCCCAATTAGGGGACGTATAACCTTACGTACCAAGTCCCATGATCCTTTAAGT